GATACGACGTATCAGGTGAACGTGCACGCCAGGAAAGCAGTTGTACCAGTCGTTCTTCGCAGGAAGCTTGCACATTCCTCACCACATGCGGTGTGTACAATTACTGTTTTCGGCTCAAATTGTCTCAATGCAGAATTAATACAAACACCCGAATGCCTACTGGAAATAAAAGAAAGAACCATGAGCGCGAGGAGAATATACCGGACACAGATTACGCATAAAAATTGTGTAAGAAATGTTTGATGTGATGGGTTGTCACAAAGATAATTAAGTAGGAATAATAAATTGACGTAATTGTAAATATTGACATCAGCAACAATGGATGCATAAAAGAGACCCCGAGTTGAGCTTTATTTTGGAAACAATACAAGGGATTGATGCAATACAACAAAATTGATAGTGGGGAAAATATATATGTTAATAAATAATGCAGTGCAAGGACACGTGAGCAAATTTCGTGCGGCAGAAAATAAATTAAGAAGTTATTAGGTGCAAGAGATCAAAAAATAGGTCAGTTGTAACATGGGTCAGTTGTAAACCTGAAAGCTATTTGGTTGCGGGATGAATTACACTGAATCGTGAATTTGTAAACGCGATGTTTTAAGGTAATAAATGTACAATTAGAGAGGAAATATGATTCCGTGTGTGGATGACGCGAACATCATTGGAGTGGACCGATATCTTTGGAAGTGGAGGCTGAATGGAAACTGAAAGACGTTCAAGATTGCGGTGGATCTCCGAAAGAAAAGTAACAAAGTGGAGGAAATTATTTTTATGTGTATATGCCATTGTAAGAAGACCAAATTTTGTGTTAAAGTAAAATTTTTAAATTAATTATTACGAGAAAATTTGACTATCCATGCAAAAAGGGAACTTGTAGCTAGTATGTGATAAGGATAATAAGATAATTCATGAAATAAAGATTGTGTTTACGAAAATTGTTATTGTTGTAGTTTTCAAATAGGATATTTGTATGGACATATGTATGTTTCACGGCTTCATACATAATGAAATGTTTATAGCTGAAATAAGTATTATTATTTATAAGTAAAAAAACAAAGTGAGTTCCCAATCCTAGGAAACAACAAATTACTTTACCTAAATATTTCGCTACCGAGTATCTGTATAGACGGCCTATCAGACATATATATCTATCATGACAGGGCGATCTTGGGATAACCTTCGGGCAACAGTGGGGTGAAATGTGAAATTTGAAACAGTAAATTCAGGAGAATAATTAAAGAACAAGGTACCAGGAATGGTCACCAGTCAGATTGGATGTAGACTTATTTGACGTAGTTTTATTTAGTTGGAATGGTTTTTGACCTTAATAAAACAGACTCTGACCTTATTTCGTTTTTGACGTTTGGCCCTTATTTGGGGTATTTTTCAAAAATTTATTGTTCAGATTTGTTAAAACCACATCATAAACAAAATATTAATTTAAAAAATTGTCAATGGTATAAAAAACTGGTCAAGTGGCAACCATTATCTGGCCAACTAGTATGACATAAGTCGTTTTTAAAAATTAGTTCCAGGTTCATTAAGGTATACATATGACCATTACAAATAAATAAAATAAAAGACATAAATATTTTCTTAACTTAGTTTGAATTTATTTACTCGTACATGAATTGCTTGCGTTTTATATGGTTCATATTAGTTTTCTGAATGTTGGAAGTTACATTTCCGTCATTCCATGCATCTGCAACCCCCAGTTTATTTGGGGCACCATCCGCTACTGGTGACTTCTTCATTCACCTGTTTCCTTATTAACTCCAGAAGTTTCTTCTGAATTGCGTATTTCAAAGAAGAAAGTCTCTCGTCTGATACTATATTCCTGAGGTATGCTTTTGCGAGTTTCAGCCAAGAAAATATTTATTTCCACTGATGCTGTAGTGCACTCATATTTAAATGAAGGACACGACCTGGACGGAGAGGGGGGCACTGTCATCCAATCGGGAGCTTCATTAGGGCTTAATTTTTTTTGTATTGGAGCTCCTAATTAGTGAACTATGTCCCCCTCTCCCTGAGTCGGAGCTCCAGCGGGCAGGTGTTTCATTTGGAGAGCATGGTTTGATACAGAAATAATTGCATATATTCTCTTCGCTGATGAAGAATGGAAGAAGATAGAAATTCCAGTAGTGTTGAATAAAAAAAATACGATTGCCATATTGCAAACCAAATTTAGGCGGTGTGCCAAACAGGGAATAAATACTGCAAAAAGAGCATTATCCTTATTTCCCATGAGTCTGTTTAAATGATTAAACATTGCGCTAGCAAGCGCCATCATAACATTGACCTTCCAATGTTGCTCGTAGACAAATGGCCCCAAAAGTTTGTCGAACAATGCAAACAAATGCCTAACGATCTAGTCATTGTCCGTTTGTTTCCCTGGTGCTAGATCAACTAAAGATTACATTTTTTGCTGGTTAAACAATAAGGTAACCTTATTTTAAAAACTTTAAAAAAAAGTCTTTATCACAAAGAACCAAAAGAGGACGTTAAAAGCTATTTTGTCATATAAAATTTAGACTTACAAATTAACAATAAATATTATTTTGTAAGCTAGAATAGGTCAATACAGATTAGTGAAATTTAAATAAATAAGTATGTATTGTAAACCAAAATGAACCTGCCCCGCGTTAGGCATTCCAATTTGTAACCAAAATGAACCTTTCTAATTTATCAACTATCTTTAAATAAACTTATTTTATCATTCCCCAAGCTGAGTAACCATTTGTAACGTTTTTATGATTAAAATAATTGATTTTGATCAATCAATATATCATCATGAAATTATGATTTTTATGATAAAACTCAAATAAACAATACTGCTTAGCCTTCACGTATGGATTAACCAAACATTTACCCACAACATAAATTTATTATCGCAAAATTACAATTTTGTGATGTTCACACCATGTGAACTGCTTGGCCGCTTCCGTGAAAGTGAGAATTAGTTTCTTTATACAAAGGCTAAATGATGAACGCCCTCCTCTAATCAATTCCATGTTAATGACACCAGGCCGTGCCGTATCTCGACAATACAATTCTCGTCTAGTATCCAGCATGGCGCCTAAATGTTTGTAGGTCCTTGCTATGCTACGAGATTTCAACATTCTAGATGCTTCCATTACGTTGTATTACACTCGAGTGACATTCTGGTATGTCACAGAATGACTTACACGATCTAATAGAATCCAATGCACTCCCTTAGTAAAGAACATTAAAAAATAAAGAAAAAATAATGCATTTGTTTGATTTGTTTTTTCATTTAATTACAAACTAGGTCGGTATTTCTCAATTTAGATTGCGTGCTAAGTCGCTCACTGAGAAGCAGAATGGATAATTTTGAATTTTTCGATAACGATAACTAATATACTAGTTCAAATGACGCCATTGCTACGATTTCCCTTCCTAGAAACTACGACTGACTCTCCAAACATTCCTTTTATGTAGCACAAGAGCTCAATATCACCTCACATTTCATTTTATTTTCTCGCACTTACTAACGTAAGAAGAGAAAGTATTGTAATTGTGCACCGGAAAACGACGAATTTTCAACACAAAAACTCTAATTGCCGGGCAATGGTATGAAAAAGGTGGATAAATCCAGTTGCTAAATATAAAAAAAAATTCTCTAACACGTGGTGTAGCCAGAATCCATGCTTAGTGCGTCCTTCAAACCGGAAAATCAATTGAGGGCAAAACGTCCGTCTGTCCGTCGGTCTGAGCACATTGCACTTTGCCAGCGCATAAACCGTTCAGCCGATTTTCTTCAAAATTTATATTCCCCAATCATTCTTGCTGATGTCGCGGCCCCCTGGGATTTGAAATCGATATTTTAATTTTTGAGGCTATTTTAGATGAAGCCGCTGAGACATATGGTTCCAAATTTGTTGATTAAATTTCATTGTTTAATAGTGCAAAGTTTGAGAGAATGGCACAGGTTTCATTTTCGTTAACATCCCCGATTTTTGGAAAATCATAAAAAAAAATTTTAACTTCAAAATTGGAGATAAGCGATTTTTGTCTCGGACTAAGTCTTGTGTACAGAATTGTCTTTATTAAAAGGTCACGTACCATTTTTTTGAAAAAACGAGTAGTTTTTGCGTTATTTGCGATTGAAATGTATGACCTTTTTTTCTCTCAAAAACCGCTCCAAATTTGTTCTTTCCATTTTCTTTACTTATTTAATAAGAGAGTGTAAAAAATATGTTGCCAGTCTAGTTTTCAGGTATAGCTCGGTGTTTTGAAAACTGTAAAAAATTAAAAGTACAAAATTTAAAATAGAGATTTTTGCCCCAAAGTCTGTTGTACAAAATTAGCGCTGTAAAAAAACGTAATGTACAATGTTTTGTAAAAGTTGGTAGTTTTGTGTAATTTGTTTGAAATTAATGAAGCATTATGGGGTCCAGTCGTACATAATGAAATTGAAATATTGTAAAATTGTAATATTGCAAGAAAGTATGTAGTGATGTAGCGCCACTAGTTTATAAATACATGCAGGGCAGATCCAGAGAAGAATTTAAGGAGGGACATTTTTTTAATTAAAAATGTTTGGGTCGAATGTCATATTACAGATTACGTAGAATGACGCAGGCTAAACACAGCTCATGCTCTGATACAATATTATTCATTTAAACTATCCCCCTCCCGTGGATCCGCGCCTGACTAATGCAAAGCGAACGGAATACATTATGATAAATTTAATATTTTACACGGTATGTAATGCCAGTAAGTCGTCACAAGGAAAGTACATTTTGGGGTCCCGTTTTCCTGCCAAAAAGATACGAGACATGGACTCAAAATAAGAGACTGCCGCGTGTAATACGTGACAACTGGTCACATTATTATGGTGAAAAGTGAAGTGTCATTACTCCGCGCGGATCCACGGGCAGGGAAATGAGGGAAATCCCCCCCCCCCCACCTAAGAAATTTTAGTACTAACTATTAATTTCAACTTGTCACGAGACTTACAAGCAAAAATATTTTCGAATTATCATTAAAACGGACAAAATTGTATCGCAGCATGAGCTGAATGTAGCCTGCGACATTTTACAAAATATGCAATATGACATATTTGACGAAAACATTTTGAATTTCCCCTTCTAGAATCCGTCTCTGGATCATCTCCTGAATCATTAATAATTAGCTATGGTTAATAGCGTTCGTCAAGTTTGCTATCAGTTAGAAAAGAATCAAATTAATGTAAGAACTGATAATCTGTAGTAATAGTTTAGGCTGGAAGTCTCAAGATAACCTCTAGGAAGAAATAGTTTATTAGATTTTTACTTCGTAAAATACGAAATACATATAAATAACATATATATAAGAAAATGTCGATGTGTAATGTCAAGACATCTGAAGTTGAGGCAGACATATCGCGAAAGATGTTAGTTATGAGTTGTTAAAAATACATTTTTTTAAATTGAGTTTCACCTATTAACTGTCTAAAGAAATTAGTTACTCTAAAGGGGGATATGATATTATTTCTATGTGATTTTGTTTTTCTTGCAAGCAATATCATTTGGAGACATTGGAATATTACTTTGTATCTGCAACAATATACGTGATATAATTAATGTCATTGTTGTAATGATGTAGGAATAAACTGATGAGTAAATGAACAGTTTCAATATCAGTTGTGATCAATTGAATAGCTCCTACAAAACAGTCGATCGCAGACAATAAGTGACAGACAAAACAGTCATTCAATGTCGGACAGGCAATCTGACAGTTAGAGATAGTCACATATACAAGACAGGCTGACTGACGAACTGATGGACTTACTGACGTCGTAAAAACATTAAATTGCTTTTTATATTATCTAAATAAGGATTTGAGATTATTTAAAGGTAGGCATTTTAAAATCAGGCACTTCGTTTTTATTTATATACATGGATTTATTACCGCAAAACCAATTTTTATAAAGTTCCACTTTCTCCAAAAAATTGTTGTTACCTCATCTTGATATCAAAGCAAGCCTACCTACCCGTTAATTGAGGTCGTCTTTGGAAGTGCACCTGCCATAAAAGTCGTTTTCCCTCTTGTGCGAAGAAAGCTTCGCCACGTTCACTTAACCTTGCTTTCAAGTTCTTTCAAGCATCAAGAAACAGTCTGTGCACCAAACGCGAAGCAGAAAGAGGCTTAAAAATTCTAGGGGTCGAACAAGCGTTCGTTGCTAATTGTAATAAATTCAAGATCCGCATCAAAATGGTAAGAGAAGGACGATGACGTCTTTTCGCAAACTCATCCAAGTCCTGCGTATGATTGTAATTAACCACTGCGAGAATTAAAACAGCGATTTACGATCACAGTTATTTGGGATTAACGAAGAGACGACAGTGTTAGAATTGGAATTGTGTTATCTCCGAGAACATCGTGTTTCATTTCGTCCCATCAGCACAGTATATTTGTAAACAATGTCTACCGAATATCCATGAGAATCTCATTTGGCAACCCTGGAATACAGCTGTTCTCTCTTGCGGTGTCGCGTGACACAACGATTACTGTAGCGTGGCGGTCGCGTTTACCGTAATGTAAGTTTGACGTTTGGATTATTTACGTGTGTTGTGTGCTCCAGAGAAAAGTTATAGAGTATTTAAACAGCGACACTCTTTCAAAGCAATTAGGTTATGAAAATGTCGTTCTTAAGAGGTTCAGCGAACTATGTTTGGTGTACGACAAGTGTTCTTGGCAAAGGTGCGACTGGAGCAGTTTTCCAAGGAGTCAATAAAAATAATGGTGAACCTGTCGCTGTTAAAACATTTAATCAGTTGAGTCACATGAGACCACACGATGTTCAAGTTAGAGAATTCGAAGTGTTAAAAAAGGTAAAACATGAAAATATTGTAAAGTTGTTGGCAATTGAAGAGGAGCAGGAAGGAAGGGGGAAAGTAATTGTTATGGAGTTGTGCACCGGAGGAAGTTTATTTAATATATTAGATGACCCAGAAAATACATATGGGCTTCAAGAGTCAGAATTTTTATTGGTGTTAGAACATTTGTCAGCAGGCATGAAACATTTACGTGATAACAGTCTTGTTCACAGAGATCTTAAGCCTGGAAATATCATGAAGTTCATCAAGGATGACGGTACAACAGTTTACAAACTTACTGACTTTGGTGCTGCAAGAGAGCTGGAAGAAGATCAGCAGTTTATGTCGCTTTATGGAACGGAAGAGTATCTTCATCCTGATATGTATGAACGTGCTGTACTTCGAAAACCTGTAGGTAAAACTTTTGGAGCAACAGTAGACTTATGGTCAATTGGGGTAACTTTATATCATGTAGCAACAGGTAACTTGCCATTTCGCCCTTTTGGTGGTAGACGAAATAAGGAGACAATGTATTATATCACCACTAAAAAAGCTTCTGGTGTGATTTCGGGGACACAAACATCAGAAAATGGACCTATAGAATGGGGAAAAGATCTTCCCAGTAACTGTCAGTTAAGTGCTGGGTTAAAGAAACTGGTTACTCCACTTCTTGCTGGTTTGCTTGAGGTTGATTCACAAAGAATTTGGAATTTTGAAAAATTCTTTTCGGAAGTTACAGGTATTCTATCTAGGAAAGTTGTTCATATATTCCATGTGAATAGAGCGCAATGCCTCAAAATATATTTACATCCTGATGCAACTTATGAAGAATTCCAATGTCTTGTGTTAGAACAAACTGATGTATCGCCCAATAACCAAATATTACTTCATCAAGACAACATTCTGCTGACAGTAATAGAAGAATCAACACCTGGTCGAGGTTATCCTGAAACAGATGAAGATGAGCCTCTTATGTTATTCAGCAAGGAAAACAATAATGTTACTCTTGTGTCAGAAGCTGACATGCCAAAATTTCCTACATTTCCTAATCTTATATCAGTGGAAAATGATGCCAGTTTGGCTAAATCTGCATGTAGTGTTGGTCATGTATGCAAAAGGCGCATTGAAAAGTTCTCCCGCTGTAGCAGATTGATTCATTTATGTGTAAACCAATTCACATCGTTAGTATGCAAAGATCTTGAGAAAGTAGCTGCTAAAAGTGATAAGCTCTGTGAAATTACTCGATGTGTGGAGAAATTGACTGATGCAGTGATGCGCAGTGGTGATTCTGTATTGAAGTTGGCCAAACATTTGAGTTGCAGTGTTACAAATCTACATTCAGTAGATTGGAGATCAGAACTGACGAATTTAAGAAAAAATGAAATGGATCCAGCAATTCAGCAACTCCATCAGCGTTATGTGACAGAACGCACATTACAGAGAGAGTGGACGTCAGCCACTCGTAGCATGCCCTGCCCTGCAAAATCCCGAGCTCCTGCTCGTGCACGTACCTTGTTGGACCGTTTGCGGGATTCTTGGCAGCACCTTGTTAGAGACAGAGCTACTAGAAGCCTGACTTACAATGATGAACAATTTCATGTATTAGAAAAAATTAAAGTTGGTGAGACTGGCCGTCGAGTAAGAGCTTTGTTGGAAACAGAATGTCAACCAGCTGTTGCACAGTTAGCTGACAGCCTGGCAGATTGGTACAAAATGGCACAAACTGTTTACTTGCAAGCTCAAATATTAGACAAAGACACAGAGGACTATGAGAATCGCCTTGACATGTTTGTGAGCCGCGTTGCAAATGGTGATAGTGTCTTCCATTCCAGTGTTCGAGATACGCTTGAAAAGTTGGAAAAAGATAGAAAAATTCCCAGAACACTTGGTAAACAGGTATCAAGAATACGAAATGATGCTAAAATTATTAGAAATAGTCTCAAAGATATTGTTGTGATCCAGGAAGAAATGGCTTCTGAAATGAAAGAAAATACTGATCTAATAAACAAGTTGGAGCAGTTCACATTATCTGTGGGATCAATTGGCTCAGGTGCTGGAGATTAAATCAAATATTATTTTCAGAAATTTGTATATTACATAGTTTTTATATATAGTATTACTTTTACAAAGAAACTTGTTATCACCCTTGTTTCTACAGTTAAATAATTGTTGTGAATCTCCTACAGCAGACATATTATGTGTTATATAATTTTTTCACACCACCTTGTAAAGAAATGAAAAGTTTTTTTAAGATATTAAAGGAAACAAATTTCCTGGAACTTGATTCTTTTTTTTTTTCCACAATGTACTAAAGGATCTCATTTTGGAAATTACATTAATGATTGTGTATCTATGAATCAAAATTGGATTGAAAGATAATTTAGTAAAATTTAACTCAACTCATCTTACAAATTTAATCTAAATATAAGCACATACAGGGTGTTTTAATCTTTACTTGCAACCCATGTCTGGAAACTCTGCCTCTTGATTTTGCAATGCATTAAATACTTTCAGCATCCCACAGTTGCATGCTTTCAGATTTCAGTGAGAATGTGGCTAATTTTAGGTGGAAGAAAGAGAAAAACAATAGTTACTTCGAGCATTTACTCAGTCAATTTAAGGAAATTATATTTTATTATTTTCTATAATTATTAATACTTTTATTTAGGCTTTCTTATTTGCTTAATCAGATTCAATAATAATACTTTATCGTTATAAATAATGAAGGGCCAGTGGTAATGTTTCACGAGTTATCTTCAATTTCTCTCCGAGCTGACTTTCATTAAATAATAATTATGTTGGTGTTAATAAATCGATAAGTCTTAACTTCCCTCCACATCTTCAGTATTACTGTTTTGTTTCTTAAGCATACTGGACAATCACCAAAAGAGATGTTTTGTTTCTTGCTCATATCTCTGCGCAGCTCGAAAAGCTTGCGGAGTGTGAACCGTGTACCTGCCTGCCTAAGCTCTTGAATGGGAAATAGGAAAGTTGCTGCAGATATGACCCGATGATCGCCTCTTCTCCTGCCTTGATGTGCGAGGCACGGCTGTCTTGAAAGGTGGCATGCGGTTGCCAAAAAAAGAACAATTACTCTCAGACATGGTATATTTTGTAAGCCTACCATAAGATCTTGTTAAAATCACAAAGGAGTAAATCAAAATAAAATAGTACAATACATAATATTTATTGTTTCGTACTACTACAATATTGCACTGACAGGACTTTATTTGGAAGCATAGGTTCATATTTTCACTGATCTAAAAGTCATTTTGGTTGTAACCTCACGTTTTTCTCTAATGTCAAAACAGATTGCACTTTGTTGAAATTTATACATATTGGAACCTATGGCAAATACAGCTGTATGCTGTACTTGGAATATTGCATCTTCAACGGACATTCAATTATCACAGAGATAGACTTAACACTGATTTCATCACGTTCATGATTTTTCTTCAATGAAGAAATTGCCAGAACAAGGTCAGTATTTTGCATGGAATTTATTTGTTCTTTTCATAACAGTTTTCATTCACAGAGCTTTAACATTCTTAATGCTATATCCATTATCAAACTATCAATGACTTATTGTTAATAGCAAATATATAATGTTTGTACTGAAAATGTATTTTCATGTTTGCAACAGAAAGCTATTTTCTTGACTAAATTGTTTGATCACAGATGGAAGTTGGTTTCCAATTAAAGTACAAGAAAAGCAAATACAGACACTTATGTCTATCTTTAAGACAAAGAAAGGTTGAAAGGCTTTAAAAAAGCAGTATTTATAAGTACAAAAAATAATGAAGTTTCTTCTGTACTAGACAGTTATAATACTTCAAAGGCAGTGTTCTTTTTGTTAATACTGGCTTTGTTGCAGTTCTGTGCCAAAAAGAGTGAATGCAACAAGTACCAGAGAGTACAAATGGCTCATTAAACTGAATTTCCTTCATTTTCCCCAAAGCAGAGTAATTGTCCATAACTAACACGTAACATACATTGGTCCATATTTTATAATGGGTAATAAAACAAAAATTGCAAAGAATTTTTATACTTGGTCATTTCGTGATATCCAAGAACAAAGCGTTAATGAAGTTTTCAACATTAACACATTGCGGTAATGCAACCATCTCAAATTTTTTTTTTCAATTTACTTGGAAGAAAATTTGCATCTTTAAGTTCTTACCAACAACTTTATAACTCGATGCAAAAGCACACTGAAGTACGTTAGAAGGTATTACTTTACTAAGTATCTAAATTTGCAATACCCTTCTCAAGCATCGCAGCTGTTCGTATAGCATGTTTATAATGTTTATGTTTTTCTTGAATATTCACAAAATGCTGCAGGAGTTCTTTGAAGTCAATATTATTCTCAAACTTGTTTGTTTCATCTTTCTTGACATTAAGTTTCCTGGAAGAAAAGAAAACTAGTCAGGAAAGTCATACAAAAACAAATTACTTTCTAAATGAAGTCCTTGTGTTCACCAATTAAGAGCAATTGATTTAATTTTAGTTGTAATGATTAAAAAGATTGTGAGCGTCTCTGCTCTCAAAAATTTCTCTTGACTAAAATCTTTACGATTGAAAATGTACAAAACAACACTAGAAAGGTAAAACTAATAAATTGTTGTAGTCTTATAACACAAATTCTATTTAGAATATTTAAGAGCATTAACAATGAGAACTATGTTGATTGTTGTCGATTCCTAACATATGCTTAGTTTTTTTAAGTCTTTAAATAATGGGCTGATTTTAATTAATTTATTGGAATTCTTATAATTTGTTAAGTATCTTAAGCAATAGAAAGACAGCCATTTTTCTTTAAGTTCTACCTAACTGATAGCCCTCTTAACAGAAAGTTTTAAAACAAGTTGACTATGAAATACAAAAATAACCATCTTACGTGCTGAAATACTGAAGATGCAAACTTGGAATACAATCAAGTCGCTGCCTTAATGTGTGGAATGCTTCCGTCTGAGGCAACAGCATCAAAATTCCATACAATGCTTGGACTAGAGACATACAGTGAGGCACTTCCAGTAATTCCAAACGAAGATCTGCAAATCAATACCAGCGGCCAATGAAGATATAATTTGAGCAATTTTGAAGTTGAGTTTTGTATTAAAGAGACAGTCCTTGACTTTCTAATGAAGACCTAATCATTTATATCACTGTATTCTACCTGGATGAATACTATCTGCCTTTTTTTAATATTCTTTTTAATTTTTTGATATCCTTACTAACTAGAAGATATAAATACTTGTCTGAGTAATTCACAACTTACACGTGAAAATAGGAGATTCAATCAGCTGTACCAACTTATCTAGTTCCACTAGAAATTCCACAGTAACTTCTAAACTTCCACTGGGAAATGTTTAAGGAACAATATAAAAACAATAATAAAGAAGTGACGCAAAACATAACTTTCAATTAGTGATAGTGATTTTCTTGTTTTATCCTTTCTTGGTTCACACTTTTGAACTAATAATATTTTGAAGAAATGAAGAAATTAGAAGGATCATATGAGATACCAATATGTGAAAAGGATACAAAATACGTATTAACTCACACACGTGAGTATAATTTTGTGTCAAAAGACACAAAGCAACTGTTGCAACAGGGTTGTGAGACCATGATTCATAAAGTGATCTAAATAGCTGACAACTTTCCTGCAATAACAATGCATTAATACATGTCAAGGGGAAAAAAAACAACAAACAAACAACTGCATTTCCACTTACTTCAGTTTTGTCATCCTTGAGCTTGGTCCTCAACTCAAACAACTCTGATGATGTCAACAGAATTGTATTAAGAGTTTGGACCATGGTACTAGCAAATTTCAAATTTTCTTCATGCCTTAAAATTTCAGCCAATGTTTTGTATATATCTTCTGAATTAAGAAGCACACACAATTGCCTAAAGAGGAAATTATTCAAATGGCATTTCTGTTTTGTAACTATTAAAAATAAACGAATTGACAAACTCTTATACCTTATAATAAAAGATCCTCGATCTTCTAAGAACTGCTTGTCAGTGCTGAACAATTTCAACAAACTGACAATAAACTTTGAAAAATACGGATTCATTTTTTCATTAGCACCAGGTGTTTTATAAAATGACGCCTCATACACTAAAAAAGAAAATATTTCTAGAATTATTGCCTGCCAATTTAGATGAATGTCAAGAGAAAATTTTTGTTAGTTAACTTGCTTGGTAATATACTATCTGGTTTCTTGTTGCGCCCAGCAGGAGAAGAAATAATTTCGGCAAGAACTACTAACGCCTGTTGAACCACTTCATCTGATGTGTCTGATAAAACTTTCAGCAATACCGGAAAAAGTTCATCTATGTGGCAGAACATCTGTGTACAGTATTGAAATGATTAAAACAAATTCTTCCTCCAAAGAAAGTGCTTTGTTCATGATATTTTTGCATGGCCATACTTTATTTGGAATTTTAATACATAAGTGATGAATCCATTGCAGGACAGCAACTTTTGTAGGAACAGATGTATGAAGCATATGTTTCGTTAAAACATCTACCAATGATGGAACATCCAATTTGTTTTCCAGAATATTGCCTTCAATGGGTGTTTCAGAAGGCTGATTTGGTAGCTCAAAGTTATCATCATCTGATGAAATCAACTTCATAAAATCAACATTGACTACTTTAGCAGTTTCTTTGATATCTGCTCAGTGTTAAGAATTCTAAAATGAAAGTATGACAACACACTCAGAAAAATTTTACAATCTTTTAATGCTTCTTTCACACTTAATAAGATATTATGAAAGGATACTTTTTCTTGATTCGTTGTCATATGATAAACAGGGCAAAACTGCTGTCAAGATGCCTGATGCAAAAGGCAACATCCTTCTCCCAGATAAATTAACAAATTCTTTTATCCAAGTTAAAGCTGTGAACTACCGCAAACCACTCATTAAAATCAAGTGTTATTGTTAAATTACATACAGTTTAAGAAGTAGTCTCTCATCTCACATTAACAAATGATATTAACAACATTTATTAATAAATATTAGGGAATGGAGCTTTCATGTTCTTCTCTTCATTATCTTTAAAAATGATAAAATTCGCAAATTGAACAAAAATCCTAAATAGAAAGAACAGTTCAAATAATTAAAGAATTATGTAATACTACTTGTTTGGAAGAATACTAAAGTTCATATATCTTACGATTAGCTTAAATCATACAATTGTTCTTCGCTGTCCAGGTGAAGCTGTGTTGAAGGCTGTGACGTTGACATTTTAACCATCTTGTCGTGGTCCTCCTCAGAACTGAAGAGCCACTGATGTGGGACAGGATTTCAGTCTTCAAGAAGACCACGACAAGGCCTAGGGCCCAGACAGCAAAGAGCATTTGCATGACTCTGGTCTTAAAGCCTTTGACATCATGGCATAAATCCTACGTACAAGCATGGGCATACATAAGAGAGGGCCAGCAAGGGCTCTTCCCTTCTACAAATTTCGTAAGAACTACAAAAATGGTTTTTTTTAATCTTAATTGAAATTTTGACATAAAAATACTTACATTAGATTACTTTTGAAACTACTTATGTATACATCACACTGAGCTAGTAAGAGGTAATTATTTACCCAAGGCCATTTCCAGTTATTGTAGAATTAGAAAAATCACCTGTAAAAGTTCATCAGTAGCTTGAGCGTGTGTGGTTAGTATATTTATCATACCAGCAAAATCTACTCTTGATGGATCACTTTTTATGCTTCGCAAAAACTCGCCCAATACAGTATCACACCTGAAATGGAATTAACAGTTACTAATATTCTGTATGAATCACGGAAAAAGTTAAAATTGATGAGCACACATATTTACACTACAGAGCATATTAAAGTACAAATGTTTTTATCTGAACTTACATTTTTTTAATTTCTAAAGTAGGATCCTCTAGTATTCTAAATAAACCATCAAGGACTTCTGGTAGAAATAAAATGAGATCTATATCTGGTACAGCATCCAAAACAGATACCCACGATATAATGAACTGACGAGCAAAAGTATTTTTTGTATAGATTCGTTCTCGAAGAAGTGGCATGAAAGATACAAGGTCAAAAGTAGAACTTTCAGTCACAATATCCTAAAACAAAATAAAAGACAGTAAGGTTGGGAATTTATGAGCAAATATTTCAACAGGTTTCCACCAAAAATATAAATTAAGAATCCCATACACACAAGTATTTGTCAGCGTCACCTCAAACTGTCAGAAACAGTAAAGGCTGTTCATAAAATTCCCATAAATTACATAACTATCTGCTGCACTTATAGCAGAATTTCTAGTCTGTGTTTTTTAAATAACTTCTTAATAGTTGAATTTAGGAAACTTAAATAGCAGCTTTTTCTTACAACAGAACAGCAGAACTAATTCACGAATCTGTGTCGAATTCTATATGCACAAACATTTTTGCAAGAGTGAAATTCAATTAACATGTTTTAAGTGTCAGCACAATCTGATAAAAAATTAACCTGTCTGAAAACACCTTTCAGATTCATACACTTACCTTCATTAATCTGTCAAGTAGTTCTGAACCATTTTTTACATTCTGATCAGGATCAGCTGCCAGTTTGCTTAATGCACTAAAAATATCTGTAAAATGTACAAGGACAGAACCTCTGGCAACCTTAACCACATTATATAGAGATTCGCAGGCATAGTAGCGAACTCTTAGATCAGAATCGCAAAAACATGCCAAAATGGGATGAATTAATTCTGCTGTATATAGAGATGTGTCCTTGAAACAAATAAATGACATGTGAAGTAATGAACACTAATTAAAATTACTATATGATAACAAATCATTTGATATCATACCTTTCCTAAAGCTACAGCAATAGCCGCCAAACCTATCAATCCACCCTTTCTAGTATGTGGATTTTGTGATGTGGCAAAATCTTGTCCTAAAACTTTCAAAAGTCTTTTGATTTGAATAATATTATTGGTTGCTGCAAATTCTTTAACCATTCTGTGAATTGATTAAACAAAATAATAATCAGTAGAACTACATGTCACAATAAAAAACAATTAAAATATTATTTTGGGGCTAGACAACTACAAACAAATCAGCCGATTAATAACATTCATGTGTGATATGCTTACTTTTCTATTTCAAGTGCGGCTGCTTTGCGTTTATCGTACAACTTGTCGTTCAGTGCACGAACGCATGCTGAACTTAATGGGGCATAATCGCGTTCTGACATCATGATCTAATAGCGTTTTAACAAATTTTGAATTCGGCAACAAGCCGCTACGATCACCCGTTCCATCAGCACTGTCATATGACAGTTCCACACGCACACACTGACACCTGACTCATATCCACGCACGCACGCACGCTGTATATACCACTGTCGAACCAACCTGGAACCACCGTCCAACCAGTGCCGAACTGGTCGCTATCCTGCGATTCTTCCCGCATTGTGAGCGCGTCGCATTGCTGTCATCTTTTACTTGCATGAGCTTATACGTTTGAGTTCAATGAAGAAACATTGTATTAATGCGGATCTTGTTGAGAAAAGATGAAAAGAGAGAAAAATGAAATTATTAAAATACAGGGAAATTTCCTAAAAGACATGTACATTATTTTCATTGCTTTTTTTATTAATTGACATGTTCATTTACACAGGAATGAATTACACTTAACCAACAGTTGGGGGTAAAACTCAAACTCAACTCACTAAACATTTTATTAATCTAAAAATAAGAAACGCAGTATACTGCGACCTCAGAAAAGCAATTGTTATTTCAGAACTTGCGGTTGCATAGAAGATACTAGCTTTGATATGTTGCTTACGTAGACCACAATGACACTGCAGTCCGTTATTCCGAAACTATTTTGAATGAGGGTTGTTACTATAATTGAAAAGAAGGTAGTCGCAGAATGAATGTTGATTTTCAGCGGAAATGACAAAAACGTCGGGCTTCGACTATTATTTAGTAAACATGGCGGACTGCTGTTATCAGAGAGACCTTAGCAAAATAGGAAAGTGCTCTAATTCATATTCACAGTACGCTAAATAGTCTCAGGAACGGTGGAATAATTTTATCGCAGTTTAATTCTAGTATGCGATGTTTTCATTGCGATTTGAATGGTACGTGTAGATTAATATTCCGACGAAATGATCGTGTGGGTTAAGGTACCGGAGAGGATTAAATAGTGTTATTGCGCGAGGTTTCCTTCATTCATATGTGGAATTCTGCCCAGGAGTATAAAGCATATGGAAAATTGTTTTTCGTTTTAATGGAGGGTGCTTTGTGACGTACGTTTATTGGCCTGAATAGGAAAAATAATTGGTTATTAGAGTACGTCTCCAGCACTCTTGGTGAATCGAGCTGAAACCAGGATTAATAAAATGTTATTTCCTAACTTTTGAGAATGTGCTCTCTTACAATTTTGAGGTGGGTGAAAAATGTGAATTTACCATTCTTAATTGGTATGAAAGATTTGACAAATTAATTGTATTCCAATACTTGATGGAGCTAGGACAAAATTATTGAAATTTAGCATGTGAGTGCAAATCAAAATTATAGCCAGAATGTTTTGAAGTGTATATTTAATATCAAATATCCTTCATTGAGTAAAAATACTTCAGTATGTGAACTGTTATTCAAATTTTACACATTCTGTTGATTTTGAACTTACCATATTTGTTTAGAAATGACTTTTCTTAAGAATTACAAAATCTCTTTATGTGGTATTGTATTATTTTTTCTTTCTTTTTTTCTTCTTTTGTAGGTGTGGCATCATTCCATTGGAAACGAACTTCTGGAGTTAATGGGTATGGGTGGTGAGGGTGGGAAGTGTGTGTAGTGGTGCCATGCAGTCAGAGCCGGGGCGGTATATCAACTCAGTGTCTGACCTCTATGGCGCTGATGAAATTGAGGTTCTTCTTGAAGAAATCCGCGACCTGGAGCCAGCAAATTACCGTCCCGAAGATATTCAGGACTTTGAGATAGCAGGCAGTCAAACTGGTGTTGCTGGAATAGCTGATTGTGAATCTCCAGCAGTAACTGTTCGTTCATGGGACTCCCATGCTAATTACCGTCAACATTTGCCTGGGTCCTCCCCAACAGCATCACTATTTTCTGGAGTTATTCTGTATTGTGATGAGACACATTTAAAATCATCTACTGGAGTAGTACGGGTTCTCCTGGTGGTAAAGGCATAGAAATATTATGTGCATGGTTTTTAAGATAAAAATTGAACTTTTTTATGTATTTTATTACCAGAATTTTGAAGAAGATATATTGGAATGTGAATTATTTTAAAAATTGGTTATCTTATTATTTATTTTGAATCTGTTTTTGTTTCTGTTATTTTGTGTTACACAATTTTTATGTTTTTAGGCAAATAAATGTTTTTACTTTATTTTATTTTCATGTGTTTTATTTATTTTAATTTATTAGATATAGTTATTTTTCCTTGCCCTCTATGCCTTGTGGAGGTATTTTCCTGTTCTTGTTTTAATTTTTCATAATATTTTGTGCTATTGAAATGTTTTCATATTATTGAGAAAAATTGAAGTCCAAAGTGTCATTGGCTGCATTTCAATCGACATTAAGTGAACCCAGTAGAGAATTGTAAATATGATAATTTTACTTCATCCGTACTTATTTCATTAGTTACTTTCTTTTTCATGAAACGTTCTATGAATGGTTAATGGGTTGTCAAAGAGGCAGGTTCTTAAAAAGTTCAGTTTTGAAATATGGAAAATATGTTTATTGACAATTCCTGTGGAAACATTCTATATTACATCAATTTTGGTTATGTGGGTCTGCAATCTCTCCTATTGGTTGGGTAGAAAATACTTGCTGCATAAAACAAATAACTTGAAAGAAACATACTGCTTGATGGCAATTGTAAATGCAATTTGCATATAAAACATATGTGAAATGTGATTGTTTCAGATTTCATCTGTAGCTTGTCTAGCTTGTCTGTGTACTTCAGGGACTGTAAAAGTGGGGCTGTTCATGCTTCCATTGGTTGGCCGCTTACGCCTTATGATGTTTGTAACAGTGTTCAGTCTCCTTGTGACCTGTTTGTTTATTTTCTTGGACATATCACATATTGTTTATTTCTTTCCATTCAACTGGGGAAAAGTGGTGAGTTAAGTAGAAAATTTGAATACATTATTTTTATTAACTAGTGTCTTCTTAAATTTAACTTGTTAAAATTTTTAAACACTTCTATTTTCATCCACTGCTGTCTTCTTAAAAAATGTATTTTTGTTGTTAGCAGAAATTCACAAATTAATTCTGTTTGTTTCAGAATGCATTATTTTATGTAAGTGTGAGTGTGCTGTATCTCATTAGTTCATCACTTGTCATTCATCTTATTCATGCCTATCATGAATCCTACAGTTGGGTTCCCAAATCAACCCGAGAACAACTTCTCGTTACAGGGGTAAGTAAATGCATGGATTTACGTTACTTACTTATTCTAACAAAGATTTTTCCAAGCAAAAGGCACTTCATTTGACAATGGAGTTTATTTACTTCCCCATCGGTACATTATATCTAAAAATTATTTTGCTACTTAATATAGCTGTAAGGTTGTATATAATTGTGTTCATTGTTCATAAAAACATGAAATTGAGTTTGTTCTGAATAGCAAATATTTTGTCCGCAAGTTTGATACGTGTTTGAAATGTAGCATAAAAAATTTTGTGTTTGCATTTCAAAATTGAAAGGGTTACAGCAATAGTGATAACCTGCACTTTCAGAACTTTTGTAAGCCAATTAAAAATCCAAAGTTTGTAAATCAAGATATTTATGAGAATATTTTTCCTGTGTCTTTGATGAAAACATTTTTGCAGCTTTGAATCATAAGGACTTCTCTTTTTGAAATTCCAAATTTTTATTTTGGATGAGTGAAATGAGGGTAATCTTAACGTTACCCAGACCCTTTCTTTTTTGCATTATGTATCAGCTTTTTAAACAGTATATTAAACTTTAAATTAGTAAATTAAGCTTTTTAAACAAATATTTGTTTTGTGATAGTCTTAATTCTGTTACATGAATTTTATTTTCACTAGTAATTGTTTCTAGTTAGTCCCAGGAATAAAAATCTTTTCAAGAGAGGGCATGTTGCAATTTTCTACTGTGAATTATCATTTTAAACAACTGTGATCATGCAAATTAAATGAGTGACTAATGAACTAAAATTGTTTTTATAAACATAAATGATTGTTTTGTTAATGTTGGTCTTATTTAGAGATTTAATAATAAAATGCATACTTTTGAAAAAAGTATTTGTTGCGTGGTTTTCATAAAAGGTAGAAAACAAGTACTTTACTGAGATTACACCAAGGAAATGTCAAGTGTACAACAGAGGAAAAGAGTAATAAAATTGACTATTAAGCTATTTCAAATATTTCTGAAAGACCGATACACTGGAGTGTAGTCCTGCAGCCTTTCAGTAGGTAGTGTTATATATTGTCACAATTTGTTAGGATCAGTGTTGAATATTATTTGGAATAGAAATGCCAATTTTCCTTCTAGCCTGTTTTTTCTAAAGATATTGATGAGTTCTTAATTACATGTGTAATTCAAGTGCATCGTTTTTGTCTTGTAGGTTCTTGGATACCTCTGTGCCTTAGAGGCACTGCTCTTGACTGTCATCACAAGGTGTAATTCGGTGCAATATACTCCTGTGGATGATGATCCCAGTCAGATGACACTGCAGGAAAGAAGAGATAGAGAGGCATCTCCATCACCGACTCCTTCACCGCAGCTCCAAGTTCCTCCCACCACTCGCCAGCAGCAGCCACCACAGCAGTGGATTCCAATGGCCTCAACATCGGCTCCTGTCTGGCCAGCGGATGATGTCCAACCGTGTTCTTCCAAATACCCGGACCCTTATACTGTGGCATGATAGTGAGCAGTTTTGTAGGTCACTAGAAAAGAAAGTGTTGTGATATAGAGGCCTGAAGGTGATGAATGAATTTGTCTTGTGTGGATATGTTAAATGGCAATTGAACAGATTAGCTTCTTGTGCTGTGCATTGTTTAGGAGAATTGTTATCAATATGCTGCACAGTTCAGGGAAGGTAACTGGGATCACAGACAAAAGCCTCAAGGAAATGAAACAACACTATTCCTTTCTTGAGTAAGACAATTTTATGTACTTATTTTCATTGATTTATTTATTGTAATGTAATATAGTAATGTTTAAACTTTGTATTTTTAATATATCATCCTGCATTTACACACACATTGTGTTGTCTGATTTATAACATAGAATGAGAAAGGAAGATGGAATCATCTGATTCTTGTTGTGGCCAATTTATTTCAGAATCTCATACAAACACTTTTTAAAAAACTACTTACTGCTACAGATTTATAAGCAGTAACAATTGCAGTTACTTTAATTAGTACAGACATATCCTACTCAGAAGTACAAGCTTCTAAAACACATGATAAACATTCAGGGTGTGGGGGGAAACAACTTGAGAAAAATAGTACAATCCAGCCAACTTGAATAAAGTCTATATACTATAATTATCCTGCACAGATATGATGAATATTGATATTTAATTTACACTACATTTTTTTCTGATCTGAATAATTGACTTATTGAAAATAATTGTCATTTTTTCCAGGCCACTCATATTCTAAACCTGTTAAAAAGCGTTTTAAAGTAGTAAAATTCATTTCAACCAATACTCATTTGACTATCATATTTTGGAAATACAGGGTATATGAATTTTTAGAAAATTTGCCCTATATGTATTTCACAACATTTGTAAATAGTGTATTCTTACATGAGGTACAACATTATTTTTATTGTTTCAATGAAGGCTGGAGACATTTACTTATTATATTAAGTCATTTTTCTTCTGGTGTCATCTCAAAAACTACTTTAAATATTTATTCATATTTGTGTATTATTGGACCTTATCTTCATAACTCATGTATGAGTATGTAAGTACTAATATTCATATTATTTTGCAGTCTTTTTTATACAACTGTATCTATCTTCCTCGTTAATTAATTATATTGATTGACAGAATTCAACTTAATTTTCTGTTCAGATGAATTGTCCCTTCATTCGCGATGTCACTTCACTTTTAAAAATAAAATGCTATTACTTCAGAATTTGTGAAACTGTATTAATGTTTCATTAAAGTAGTGGATATAATTTCTCTTTTTTTTTTTTAGAGTTCTACATTTGCATTTTACTGGAATAAAATAGTTCCTACACTTGGTGTATCTAAAAATATCATTTTGTATCGAGAGTGTTGTTTGTATCGTTAATATGTGTTACAGAGGTATTTTATGAAAAAGTATGACTTTTTTTTGCCAAATTTTACTGTCTGATGTACAAAACCAAAATAATATTTACAAAGACAAATGCCAACTTATGTTATTGTACAATAATAATGTATTTTCACAAATTTTAAGTAATGCAATTTGTGCTATAAATTTAATAAATACTTTTTTATTATTATTGTTATTATTAGTTTTGTAATCTTATCAGAAATATATTTTAAAAAATGTGTTCAGTATTTTGTAACCAAATTTCAATGTAAATATTGAAGAGCTTGTATAATTTGAATCATGAATATTCCTCTTATGAATTGACCTTGATGCTCCACTCTCAGTCTGCACGTCAGATACTCCATGTGTAGAAATAGAGAAATACTTATGTAACTTGTGGTGGTTAAGTGCTAATATTTTTTGAAGGTAAGGTCTAGAAAAATCACAGTTCTCCTGAAATAAATTTTAGTTTCTCACAATAAATTAACCAGCATATCTTTTACTATTCAGTTCTTGCTTCAGGGTGTGTACAAAGTAGTTCTGCGCTGAAAGTCTTAAAATGTTTAACAATAATGAATGTGTATTATCTGGAGTTTTAAGTGCAATAGAAATGATACTGATAAGCATTATTAAGTATATTTTTTCAAAAATTATTTTTATTGCATGTGTTATTTTGAATATGTCTAAAATATGTTTAGAATTAAAAAAAAAAAATTGATTGTGTGTAAATGAAACAGGAAACTCAATTACATTTTTACTGCTATACTTTTGTAGATTTTTAATTATATTGATTCAAAAAATTCTGACTTTCAAAATTGATTGTGATTAAAGATGGTTTAGTGTGAGTATATCTAATTATTAATAACATCATTTCATTTACTTCAAAGTTGTGCAGTGTGTTATTGTTTTATTTGGTAAAGAATGAAACAGTGCCTTTTTATATAATCCAAGTTGTTAGAGCACTTTGTTTTCACCCTGTTCAAGGAACTTTTCAAAAACATGTTTCATTTGCTTGCTATTTAAGAATAGCTGGGATTGAAGTGAGCACTTTGTGAGCTATTGTAACATATTTTTGCTACACTACAAATGTATTTTGCGGCTGTAAATGAAACAATC